ACAAAAGTGTAGTGTTCTAGAACTGCATGAGAGAGACTCCAGCAGAAGGAGCGGTCAACGGGAGCCAAGAATGGTGTCCACAGAGGGACCCACCTTCAGTCCGGCAGGGGCAATAACACTGAACCCCAGTTAAATAAAATGTCACCAAACCCCAAGGGAGCCTTTCTTCTCCTCATAAGCAGACCTATTGCCAAACAACTGTGTATTTTAAAGTCCGTCGGTAAACACTTGAGAATGTTTTTTTTTCTCTCCTTAATAGCTTCTGTTTTGCCCCTTGGGCCCACCAGCGTGATACAGGTTCTGTCTGGCCTTTTATATAAAAACCTTCATCGCGTTGAGCCAGAGCCAGAAGGTGAAAGGTAGCTGGGTGACACTCGCCTGCAATCCCAGCTACCTGGTAGGGCAAGGCAAGAGGATTGAAAGTTCAAGGCCACCCTGAGCAACCCAGCAAGCTATGTTAAAATACGAGATAAAAAAGGGCTGAGAAAGTAGCTCAGTACTTCCTGGGTTCTATCCTCGGTACTAAAAAAAAAGTGAAAGAGGCCTTCTGAGGGTGGGTGAGGGTAGCTGGGCCCACAAAGTGAAGGTACAGTGGCTTCCATGGGGATGGGAATTTGTGGGCTTAGAGCAGGAGTCCAGAGCCCTCGCGTGACCTGGCTGGTGTGGGCTCCGGAGGGACCTGCGGTGTGCGGGGATTGGTCCTCATGCCGCCTGCGGAACTCCGAGCTCAGTTCCCCCTCACCTTGGTTTGGGTCCCTGAGGCAGACCAGGAAGTGACAGAGGTGACAGAGGCATGGGGGTCTCATCCGGAATGTGTCTGTCCCCAGAGCGCCCCCTCACGGCTGCAGAAGCATCACAGTACCTTGGTGACGCTCTGGGCAGTGCCTGTCCACTTCTGATCAATATCTGTCCTCTGCAGTGGACTCCCAGATTGGGGGTGGGGACCTGAGTCTGCTCTTCTGGGTACCTGTGATAGCAGGCACACAGTGCCATCGTGTGTGCTTGTGATACATTGTGAGGTTTTGGTCTGTTTACGTATCACCGGGAGACCTGGTGATGGGACCGCTGAATGAAGAAGTGATCAACCTGCCACTCCCACCCTGGTGCCTGGCCCATTGTCTTGTACACAGTGTATGTTCAGGAAGTTTTGGCTGAGAAAATGAGACGTTGATCCTTTGTATAATTTCTAGCTAGGGTATGTACCTTGGTGTCTTTGAGGCTGAGCCAGAGGGCAGGGCGGTCCACATGTGCCGTGACTCAGATCTCAGGGGACTCCCGGCCACAGCCAGTCCCTGAAGTCTGCTCCTGCGGCAGGCTTAGCCCGCTGGCCGGAAGGGCAGCTGCCAGCTGGGGCCTCAGCAGTCACACTTGCGACTCCTCTGGAAACTGCTCACTACCTAGAACCCAGCATGCCTCCCACAGAAAGCCCCACTGTCCTTCGCTGAGGGCATTCGAAATTTGGCTAAAGGCAGGAGAATGAGTCCTGATGCTCAGAATGAAGGCAGGCAGTGAGGACAGGCGCTAGCGCAGGAGACCATGTGCTGTGTAGCACCGCAGTTAAAAACACTGACTTAAAAGTTTAGCAGTAAAATATCTGAGCATCCTGCTCTTTTCTGAGGACCTGAGCTGTGTGACCCCGGACAGGTGTACCATCTCTCTGGTCCTCAGTTTATACTTGTCAGCTCTGATACCCACTCATGAGCATGACAGACCTATGAATGCAAAGTGCTATCCCCAAGGCTATGGAATGGCTGTCCCAACCCTCTGCTGGGGCACCGGGCCTTGAATCCAGCTCATCTGAGACCCAGAGCTCACCCTACCCCCATGATGTCTTTTGAGGGTGAAATGATGCAGGGCTCAGTGGGTGAAAATCAGAGGGTCCTTCCGAGTGGAGAACAGCTGAAGATAGGGAGGTAGGCAGGCCTGGTACTTCCCCATGACTCCCTGATCCAGCCTTTGTCTGCTCTGTCAGGAAGGGGCTCCCAAGGAAGCCACGGCTCAGGGTCTCAGGGTCCCCCCAACCATGACCTCACTGTGCTGCCTTGGCAAGTCCCAGGTGTTTGGAAGGCCTGGGTTTCAGCCTCAACTGAAGTCCCTCTACTTCTAGATCTGACTGCGACCTGACTCTCAAAGGGCCTTTCAGAGAGCAAAGAGCTGGGAGAGCACCCAGAAAGCCCATGCAGAGCCCCCTGGAAGCCCAGCCTGCCCAAGGTGCTGCCCCAGTGAGGGGCTCTCCCCTCTGGGTTAGAGGGCTCTATGCTCTTCTCTGTGCCCTAGACACTGAGCTAGGCACCCACGGGACAGCCAGCACCTACTGCTCAGCAGAGTAGAGGACTTCTCCTCCTTCTCCTCCTTCTTTGCCGCAGGCCCAATAGTGAAGAACCCAGCAGCAGCCTGACCCAGGGCCCCTGGGCCCAGAGAATGAGGACACAGCCACTTGCAGGTCGCCACTGAGACACATAGTTGTTCTGCCCAGCCCATCTCCCTGGCCTGCAGTGGTTGCCTCTGCCTTCATGTTTATCCTGCTGGCTCCCTGAGGAAAGCAAGCTACAGCCCCAAGTAAGAGAGTGGGCCGGGTCAGGAGGGGTCGGGACTGGGGTCCAGACTTCTGGAATGGGCAGAGGTACAGAGGCAAGGCCAGTGTGGGGCTGTTAGGAAGACATTGTCAGATATCAGCCTTGCAAAGTGCATGAGGCTGGGGCCATGGAGGTCACAGAGCAGCAAAGGTCATGAGCTGTGAAGCTCTCTTAGAGACTGGGAAGTTTTGTGCCTTTCTCAGGCTGCTCCCTCTGAAGCATAACAAACTTGGTGACAGCTGGACTTAAACTCTAAACTGCCTGGAGGATTCAATTGGGCCAGCTGGAGAGCTGACGATACAACTTCGTAGAAAGAAGCAGAACTGTGAGCGTTCATAAACCGTGTCTACCAGAGTAGAGGGACAGGACAGCTCTGTCTTGCCCCAGGTCAGGGTCTTGACTCACTGGTGGGAACCAGGTGATCTTCCTGGGAAACAACACACACAGAAGGGCCTGTGATTTAAACTCCCGAACCACTAACTCCACTCGCAGGGCAAGAGGACAACCAGCCAGGAGCTCTGCTGGCCAGCCGCCGCCCACTCAGCCCTGCCAGGGCCCACAGGGTAGAGAGCAGGGATGGGCCACTGGGTACCCACACCAGCCTCTGCTTGCTGAGCAGTTACTGGGTCACCTTCCTGAGGTCCGCTGAATAGTGACCTCGACAGATGACCACACCGCACCCCCAAGAACCTGGACATATATTCCCTTAATGGCAAAATGGACTTGTAAGCCCACTGTAATGTGAAAGGTCCTCAAAGAGGCTGGAGAGTAAGAATCAGAAAAGGAGATGGAGAGAGATTAAAGATGTTAGGGTAGGAAGATGGAGGAAGGAGTCACAAGCAAAGGCAGGTGGTGGCCTCTGGAAGCTTGGAATGGCCAGGGAAGATCAGATTGTCCCCAGAGCTCTGGGAAAGGAACACAGACAGGACTGCTCACTTCACTTCAGCCCAGTGAGACTGATTGGGCACTTCTGACCACCAGAACTATAAGGTAAGAAGTGTGTGCTGTTTAAAGCCACTATGTCTGGAGTCATAAGTTGTAGCAGTCATGATAAACTCACCCAGACCCAGGGCTCCCTGCTCTCCTCCTGACACAGCCCCTGCCATCCTGAATCCTTACTCTGTTTGCTCTGGTGTCCCCGGGGAAGGAGCTGGGCCCTGAAGTTCTAGGAAAATCCAAATCAACAAAGCCGTGTTTTCCTGCAAATCTCTACAAGACCTACCTTACCTGTAGGCCAAATGGGGCCATAGGATGAGGAAGTCACCAACCTGCATGGCAGTTCTTTTCACCTTGATGAGGCATTCAGTATTTTTGCCTCCAGTCCCAGATAGGAGCATTTTGAAGGGGGTGTGTAAGCCTCATCAGAATCTTTCCTGAGCTGGTCCCTGAAGGGAGTGGGTGGCCACATTTTGGAGAAAAGGAGTGGGGCACCAGCCCTGAGCCCTACCCTGCCTGTTGGGCTCCCAACTCCCACTGCGCCCCCTCCCAGCTCTGAGCAGGCACACTGTTGCTCAGCAGAGGTGCTCCTGGCTGCTCCATGCTGAAGGGATGGGGTTTACCCTTTTCCCAGTCCAAACGCCAATGCCCCCAACCTACCACAACATACCTTGTTGAGGGCAGCACTAGAGACAAGCTCTCCCAGGAGCATCTTCCCAGAATTGGGGGACTAGCCAGGATCCATGCTATGCCCAGGATGGCCTAGGCTTCTAGATCCCCATGTCTGAGACAAGCTCTGAAATGGGTTCACCTCCCAACCTCCAGAATCCCAGAGTGTGAGTCCGTTTGGGCTTGCAAATCTTTAGAGAAGTGATTAAGTTATATGGGGTCCTTGGGGTGGTCCCTTGTCCAATCTGATTGGTGCCCTGCTGAGAAGAGGAGGGCATGCACAGAGGGAGGACCATGGGAAGAGGAAGCAGGAGGACAGCCATCAGCTGGCCATGGAGAAACCAACCTGCATCAGAACTGAAAGGATTGAAAAGTCTGTTGTCTAAACCACCTAGTCCGTGGTACACTGGAAGTCCAGTGATAATGACATGCACTAGAGACGCCAGGGGTCTTAAACTCTCAGCCCATGGAAGTCATGCAGGCCACAGGAGTGAGGTCACCTGCCTTGCAAACTCCAACATCTAAAAGCAACGGAGACCCACCGTGGCTGGACCAGACCACCACCTGGCTCATGCCCTCAGTGGGACCCTTGCAGGAAGTCCCCAAAACGTCTCAGCCCTTGTCTTTGCGCTTGAATTTCCTTCTGCTGTTAAGGGCAGGATCACAGCCCTCTCTCGCCACTGCCCTCTGTGCTGTCCCCTCACACACAGGGAGTGTCTGGCTCCTGTGGTGAGACACTAGCCAGCTTCCATGAGGTTCCCCCACATCTGACGTGATGTGGGAAAAGCTGACAGGCTGCTCATGATGGGGGGGCACACACTCTGCAGGCCCCAGTCACTTGGGTCCATCTTTAATTATGTTAAATATTAATAAAAATACAGCATAACAGTGATTCACATAACATACCTTACAGGACTAAGGAAGTACAGTTTCATACAATCCGTACACAACTTTTGGGAACACAAAGTAACTTCAATACCAGATTGTGGGAAACGCTCCATCTCACTTTGGTTTGGGGTGACAGGCTAGAGAGCCACCTCCTGAAATGGTACCTGTGCTGTCATCGAGAGCTGAGCCTCAACAGAGAGAAAACAAAGGCAACGGATGTGGCTTCTGGAGAGGCCCCTAGAGAGAAAACCACGTCTGATGGCACTGGGTGGCACAGAGGGATGGGCCAGCGTATATAAAAGAGATCGGTAATGAACCAAATAATATTGGAAATAATACCCTCAGTAGTACTTCTGTAAGAAGCAGATTACACTACATGTTATTCACATGCATAGGAGTGTGTAAGGAAAATCCTTGTAGTCATGGTCGGTGCGGAATAGTAAAATACGTACTGGAAATGACAAGTTAATTGGCAGAGAAATTAATCTATAAAAGCATCCTGTCCAGAGCAGAGGAGCCTCATCAGCAACAGAACTGAGGGGAACCCATTCAGAAAATGCACCCACACATGCATGCACTGTGTTCCAAATAAATACACACACACACACACACACACACACACACACACGCACACTGAAGTGATATCTCCCTAAAGCATCCTTGTGTTCAGGCCAGATCTTCCTGCTGTCTGCTGCTCTGAGTGCTGGCTGCGAGTGAAAGGCAGGGATTGTCCTTGCACATGGGTTTTCAAGACACACAGCTCCTTCAGTAGAACCAGGCCCAGCCGCACCAGTGCTGAGGGCTCCCTGTGCACCTTCCAGTGGGCTGAGCTCCTGCCTCTGACGGCACAAGGATCAGACCGCTGAGCACTCTGGGTCCTCACACCACCGAAGCCCAGCCTCACTCATGTGTGCAAGTTACAGCTGGGTGTCTAGTGTCTGCACTTTCTGACTTTGGCAGAACAGATCTGGGAACATAGTTTACAGGATGCTCCCCTCAACAACACTCAGTGCGATCTTTCATTGTCCTCCTGCCCTGGGGCTGTCCGCCAAATGGACACGAGCATTCTCTCGTTTTCCCCACAACTTCCAAGAAACGACAAGACCTTCAACACTTCCACTGTAAACTACACTGCCAAGAGGTTTGGAAAGTTCCATCGGGAACACAGCTCTTAGCAATCACATTCTATAACCTAGGACTACACATTCAGCCCAAGTTTGGCTTGTGCATTGTGTTTCTGAGTCAGGACACAAACATCTCCTTGAATAAGGAATTCTGACCATGGATAATAAACTACCTCCAGCTGGGAAGGTGAAGGGATGGAACTTGTGGCCAGTCAGAATGAAAAAGTAAACCCTCTCCGTTCTTGAGTGGCCCTGTACGCATGATGAGGGCTTCAGTCACCAAGATCGTCTATGTACTGTTCAATTCCTTGAGGTTGCTCTATTCCAGCACTGACAGCAAAAATTTCTCCTCCAAATATTAACTGAATTTCTTGGGAAAACATCTAAAGAAGCAGACAAGAGAGCTATGGCCAGTCAAATGCAGGAAGCAGTTTGTTTTAAATGTATCCATTTTCTACCTTAAACATTAAAAAATCTGTGAGGTTAGGGCGGGAGGGGGTCAGGGAGAGCAATGTGCTGTCAAAAATGAACTGCTGTTTTCCTCTCGGAAGCAGTGAAGTGGCCAAACAGGGTTTATTTCTAATGTTACCGCAGGGCTCACTTGGGAGTAAAAAATGACAGTGAAAGCGCCTCGGTTCTCCACAGAGGCTGGGTTCTCTGCACAGAGGAGGATGTGATCTGACAAAGTGTTTTGAACTGGAAACTGCGTGTGAAGTTTAAGTTCTGGCAAGCCCTGGGCTATGACCTCTAGCCTGTTTCATGGGATCCCGGAATTGTCAAGCCCCAGACTGGGACTCCAGGACGCGGGCGGGCAGCGCTGGGCTGTGACCTCCCAAGGCCTCCTCTCCGCTGCTCCAAGCACTCTGGGAGCAGAGCGGAATTCCTGCCAGAGCGAAGCTTCCAAAGGCCTCAGGTGGAAGAACTCTAGGAGGGGTCTCTGAATGGTGCTGATTAATAGATGCCTGGGGAGGAAAAGAAGGCTGGAGTCTCCGGGGTTTTTTCCACCCACAGAGACTGTTAAGAGTCAGGGCGATGACAGAGCGGTGGGCCCAGTGCCTGAGGCGCTCAGCTCTCAAGGTGCCTTCCACGCAAATGCTTCATCAGCAAGAACTCGTGCCAGCCTGGCATTGAAAGGCCCGTAGAAGTCCCGCAGAATCTTCTGTGTGACCGGCCACATGGGCCCCAGGTTCCGGTCCTCGGGACGCCTCACATTGGATGCAGGGCTCTTGGTCATCAAGGCCTCTTGCTTCTCACTCAGGGGCCCTGGAAGGGAAGGAAAAGGATCGTATGAAGCGGAAGTTATGGCAGAATTTTGCAAAACTTCATGCTGAGACAGGAGTTTCCTTTAAGAAGAATGTTTGGGGATTCAGATTCTTTGGCAAGATCCGTTTGGAGATGAGGGAGAAAGTGGAGCAACCATTATGAAATTGCAAAGAAACTTGGGGCCCGGTGTCTAACACCCACCCGCAGAGGGCCTGCCTGGTACTTTAAGATGCCATATCCACCTGAGGTCCATCTCAGGGATTCATTTCCGGTTGTCCTTAATGGCCTGCTTTCCACGGCTCTCAGCCTGTCTTGGATAACTGTGTAACCTGCCAGGCACGGTCCAAGCTCTAAGGTTGTCCTGCTAACCGGCCTGCTGGAATTGTGCCACAGTCATTTATTTTCACTATGCTGTGAAGAAGCCGGACTGGGGATAGGCCACCTGTGCCCAGAGATCCACCTATGGGAAGTGCATCCATGACAAGAGGCCCTGGGACAAGCCAGTAGGGGCTGCCATTCCACTCCTCAGCTCCCTCGACCACAAACTGCTGATTGGCTTAATAACCCACCTGACCTGGTCACTGCACGAAATTCTTGAGCCCTGGCTCTCAGGATCTGGCCAAAGTCCTTAGCACAATATCTCAGTACCCTAGGGTTATGCAAGATAGAAAACTGGCCTTACTGTCCTTCTTAAAGACAAAAGACAAGCTCATTAATGTGACAGAGACCATGGGTGACCAAATCAAAGAAAAAAGTGACCACATTTCAACAGCTCTCAAAAAAAAAGAAGAAAAGAAAATGACCAAACAGTCCTGAGTCCCAGTAGTAGGTAGGTATAGTTCAAGAAATATTCAACTAACAAGATTCTCGGGCAAGAGCATTACAGAGCATCACAAGAGTTTCTTCCGAGAAGAAATGTGATTTGTTCCAACCATGTCTCAGCCTTTGTAGATGTTCTTGGTGACCCATCCACAGAGGCAGCACTCTCCACCTTTGCATACGCCTCTGTCACTTACTGCCACAGCCAGTATCATGGCCAGTTAGCACTGTGTCCTGCAGAACTCCGAGCTAAGGACAGGCTCCCCCCGCCACCCCCCGAGCCAAGGCCAGCCGCCAAAATGCAGCCACACAACCTTGACTCTAGAGATTCCCCCAGCAACACCTGAGATGATGTCATGGCCTGTTCCCTCCTCCACACCTCGTCGCCTTCTGCCACATTGTTCCAGTCACCCATTGTCACACGGTCATTCCTTCAAAGCCCAAACTGTTCCCTTTTCTTCCATGAAGCCCCTACAGTCCTTGGACAGCTGGGGCTCCCAGTACAGAGCTATTGTGAGGGTACTAACCACAGCAGGCAACTAGTTAGTTACTCAGTGTATTCAGCTGTGGCCTTCTTCTCTTCCACTAGTAGACTGCAAGCTTTGCCCTGGAGAATCCTTTAGCACTCTGTGTACAATGACCCATAAGCAGCGGCTGCTCGAAAAATGGGTACTAAACTGGCCTCCCAGGCAACACTCTCTGCCCACCTGGCCACGTCTACACTGGACCCAGTGTCCACGGGCTCACACTGTGCTCCCTCGGTCAGAAGCATAACACATACCCAGGTTCAGGAACTGGAAGACCCTGTGCATGGTGTACTTGACATTAGAGGCATGGTCTTCCAGGCGCAGAATGAGGAACTGTTCCTTATTAAAAACAGTGAGCCAGTCCAGAAGATACACAGCATACAGCCCAACCTGGAGCCTCACCTAGGAGACAGGAGGAGGACATTATTTCCGGAAGCATGTTTCCAAAAGGATTATGGCATTTCGTTATAAACCAACACAGGAGAGACATCCTAGCTAACAATTACCTTCAGAAGTCACACTTTAACACAACATGATCCGTGTCTTCATGGGAAACTTGGCAATACAAGAGCAAAGAATATGCACACTTAGGGTTGCATTTACTCCTTACAATAGCCCTGTAGGTAGCTACACACCTCCACATTGCAGGTGAGGACTGCAGAGCAGGAAAGAGCTCAAGGCTGCAGCAAGCGGGAGTACACACATTCCTTGCAGGACATCCTAGTTGTCCTCTGCTCCCAGCATGACCTCTATGCCCAGAATATAACAGGCTTGGAAAAATCAACTGAAGACGTCTCAGTAACAGCCCAAGTGCACTAACAGCAAAGTGTGTGTGTATGAATATAATTAGTATGGAATTAATCCAACAGATGTAAATCATTTCTCCTTTCTACCTATTCATTGCCCGGGTCATCCTCCTTCTGTTCCTTCTCTTGCACCAAACTGCAAAATGTATCATGAAGAATTAACCTGCCCAAAAGAGGTCTGGCCTTTGCTCTTCCCCCAACATGCAATTGGTGTAGAGTGAGGTGTCTCATTCCCACCTCCCTGTTTTGCTCTTCCTTTGTCCAAGACCATCAACATCTGCTTGGACACTCACAAGGCTCTCAAACGGACATCCCACCTCTTGCTCCTGCACTCCCACTCCTCATTCTGCCATAAGCAGGGGCTTTGCAAGGCAGAGTGGGCTGTGGCCAGCCTCCGCTCAGACTTCATGGCTCCTTATGCAGAAAGCCCTTGGTCTGGTTGAGCTTCTAGCTCATGTAGCCCCAGACTCTTCTTTAGGGCTCCCATTTCTTTCCCTTTTTTTTTTTTTGGTACCAGGGATCGAGCTCAGGGCCTTGTACTTGCAAACAGCAGCACCACTGAATTACATCCCCAGCCCAGGGCTCCCATTTCTTAGGCAAAACTCTGCAGTCCTTCCTTCCTGCCCAGCTTGAGCGTGAGCTCCATGAGGGCAGGGACCATGGCTCTGCCAACAAAACAGCCCTCACAGGGCCTAGTGCTGGTGCTCAGTCTGGTTTTCGGTGGGACTGCTGAACAAGGCATCAACAATACAATGATGAGGGCTGGAGATTTAGCTCAGTGGTTCCGTCACTTGCCTTGCAAGTGCAAGGGCCCGAGTTCTATCACTGGTACAAAAAAAAAAAAAAAAAAAATGATGATGATGAAACATTTGATAAAATATGTGCAGACATTGACTAGTTTAATCTCTCACTGTTCTTTTTCCATTTCATTATTTTTCTAAAGATGTAGGGAGATGGGGAGGAAGAAAAACCATTAGAGGGAATAGATAAGTTATCTCCAAAATTCATTAGCTGCCTCCAACCCACACTTTTTTCCTACCTTACACACCAGCTCATACAAAAGACCTCAAGCTGGACTGAAGCTACAGACAAAACGAGTACATGCCAGTCTCAGAAACAAATATATGTGTTGCCTCCAATATAGAAGAATGGGCAAGAGAATATCATGTTGGTAAATCATGGGCCTTGCACGGCTTTGCAATTCTCTTTCCCTGGCCAGCTCACAAGCCGCCTCTTTCAGAAAAGACCCATATGACTAGGTTTATCTCTTCCAGAAAATCTGCCTTTGTGACTTGAGAGCCTTCTGGGAGGAAAGAAGCGAGGATGCGGGTGTTGGGAGAGAAGGGATAGCTTATCCCTGCTCCTGGTGTGATGATAAAACATTCTCTGAAACCTTGTTTGTGCCCATCTTCGGTACATACCCACACCTTCCCCACTACAATGGGACGAGACCTGCAGCAGGGCTGTCCTTACAGGCAGGGAGGAGATGCGCTTCCTGGGTGCCACATAGCAAGACCCTGTCTCAACCCCTCAAAGAGAACATACAGTGCTAAGAGAAGCCGCTGAGGTTCTGGGTGTCAGCTGACTCACTAACAAAGGCCCACAGTGGGCAGTGACTGGCCTGGGGCCAGGAGTTAACGCCCATCAGAAGCTCAAGGACATGGGGTTAGTTCCACCATAGGTGAGACCTGAGGAAGAGTGAGCACCGAGGGAGAAACCAGGGAGGCCCTCAGAGCAGCATATGGAGGATTGCAGGGGAGTCCAGAGACCACCAGAGGGGAGCACCACAAGGGTGCTAGTGCCGAGCTCAGCCTAGAGCAGCCCCAACTTCTCCCCTGACAGGCACCGCACTGAGCCTCTCTGTCTCCTACTAAGGATTTCAATTTGAACTCCCCACCAGTCTCCCAAACTCCATATCTTTCATTTACGCATTCAGCAAGTACTGTGAGTTCAGGCAGGCCATGTTCCAGGTACCAAGCTGGGCAGCAGAGATGTACTGCTCCTCACAGGCACAGTCCTGGCATCATGGAACTTGTGATCTAGTAATGGATACGTAGCTAAACTGATAAAGAAGCAAACATCTATAATCAACAGCTGTGACACAAACTTGTTGAAAACGAATCAGGCTGCCGAAAAAAACATACGATGAGATTAAAAGATGACCCAAGAGACGGGGAATCCTTTCACAAGCAAAAAAAGAGCACATCCCAGGGCAGAGAAGAAATGGTTAGAAGGCTCCAAACCACAGTGGTTCCCAAACCTGAGTGCACGGCACACCCACCACAGGCCTTGGAGACAGAGAGATGGGTGTCCCCACCACTGGGTTTCTGATCAGGAGGGGCAGAGAGCTTGCATTTCTGATGAGTTAGACCTGCTAGGCATGGCAATGGAGAGGGAGGGCTATGCAACCTACCAGTATATCCCAAAAAGCTGCTCCTCACCCCTGTGCTGTGGTTGGGCTGGGATCTGCACGTGGAAGGGAATTTTCTCCCTTTCCCAGAAGCAAAGATTCACCTCCAAGAAGGGTTTCCACCATTCCTAACTTCCCGTGAAGGGAATGTTAACAGCAAATGAACTGTTCTGGCCATATATATATATAACTAGCTGTGACCACTTCTGCCCTCTCCACTGTCCTGCCCTGGGGATGTCCCCTGGACCAGAAGACCCTGCTCAGCTACTGTCCTGTCACCCTTAGCAAAACAGAAATTAAATTTAAAGGCATGTGTCTCCTGCTGGCTCTACACTATGCTTTTGGAATCTAAGTAGGGACAGTGGAAACACAGTGAGTTTCCAAGGCCTCCACAACCAGGCCTTGAGCCTTTACTAGCTCCAGCAGGAGCATCTCTGTGAGCCTCTGTGTCCCCATCTGTAAACAGGGATGAGTTAGGGCACGCATGACACAGTGGACACAAAGAGCCCCCTCTGTCAGCACATGAGCCGAGTCACCCCAGCATCACCCCAGCAGCCAAGCATTGGATAACATCACATATAGGGGTCCTGTGCATGCTGGGAAAGGAGTAGTGGCACCAGGTGATGACGTCACAACCCATGACTCATTAGCCATACTCCAATCATTCACAGGGCCAGTCAGTATCCAGGTTTAATCGCACTGTTGGCACTTTGAAATAAATAACTGGGTTTGGATTGCAGTTTGGGTACTCAGTCTCTAAAAGGCTCACAATTACTAAGTTAGGGGGGCCTATGAGATCTAGGGCAGTGTTCAGCAGTGCTGAACAAGAATTAGTTTCCTTCCACTCTTGCAACAGTGAAATTTTTTAAACCCCCTTTTTGCTTTAAAAAAAAAATCAGGATGTTTCTTTCAGGCATGCATGGAAGTAAGTGCAGAGAATGAGGAGGCACTCAGGAACTTAGAGGCCCTCATCTCAGTAGTGTTCCCACATTCACAGCTGGAGTGTGGCCTGGAAGGAGGGCAGAAGGGCACATCCCTCTTTTCTGTGGAAGTGGCTACAAAAATCCTGCCTGCAGGAAATCTGTTTAGAGACAGACAGAAGCCCATCTAGCCTCCCTGGCCCCAGGCACTGCCTGTCCTAAGAGAAGGTGCAGGGGTGTGGACCGCTCCCCTCTGTGGACTAAAGTGCCAGGCCGCACACAGACCCACACTTACATCAGAGATTCACTCTTTCACAGGTACCCGCACAATTCACAGCTATGAAGGAGATTATGCCAGTCAGCAGCTCTGTACCTTTCCTAGCCCTGCCAATCACACCCTTGGGTAGCTTCCTCTCAGAGGCCCCTGGTGCATGCCTGAACCTGATCCTCTCTGCCCCAGGCATTTTTCAGGACTTGGTGGCAATAGGGCCTGGAAGACACAGTTCCAGCCCCTCCCGGGAGCCACACTAGCCAGACACCACCCCTCCCGATGTGCTCATCTGGTAACAGTGATTTGGACTCAGTCTTGCCTTTCATTTCCCCGTCTTCCCATCAACTCACCAGCTTATGTTGAGTCCCATAAGCTCACACACAGGAGAAGGTTCAGGAGGCCAGGCGGGGGAGGAACATGGGGGTGGGGGACATTATGCCTTCCTCTAGGTACAAGTGGCCCCTCTCCCCAGACACAGCCCACCCTGTACCTTCTCTCTCAACACCTAGGACCTGCCACACAATGGGTTACAGCAGTACCTACAAAATACTGCACTGTTGAGGACACACTGAAGTCCTGGAGGATGCTGGGTCCTAAGGCCTTGATGTGGGCCTCAGTTCTTCCACTGACTGGGTAGCTGACTCCAGGAGAAGATATCCTGCCCGAGCCTCAGTTTCCCCGGCTGTCTACAGGAAGCCCCAGGCATGGGACAGCCTACATCAAAGCTCAGCACCAGGCTGGTATAGTCTACACTGGCTGAATCCATCACTTCCCGGCCACACTGGCACATTTAGTACTCTCAGTGGACTCCACCAGGGAGGCACCTGGGCAGAGGAAAGCCAGGCAAACAGGATCACCTGGCAAGCTGGGGCTGCAGTGCCACCTCAGACCACCTGTACCAAGCTCTGCCTTCCCTGAATGAGGAGCCCCCTGTGAGGGCAAGGCTCTCCTCTGCTTTCTCCTGGATTTTCCCAGAATGTTTCCTAAAATACTAAGCCCCAAGGATCTCAAAGCAGGATATTTAGTAGGGCTCAGGACTTTCCTAGCTTTCTTTGCCTCACTCTTACAAATGCTCGCTGACTAAATAAGACCTTCATGCCAGCCAAAGATGTGACCCGAGGGCTATGAACCTCTGTGGATGCTGGAGTCGCCCACCCTCTGTGACTCTACGGGGCCTTGTGGGAAATGGGAAACACAAGTCCTGGGGAACTGTGCTTCTGTGCGGCTTGGCCAGCATATCCCCTTCCTGACACAGACCCTGAGCCTTGTGAGTCCAGAATCAGTTAAGCTTAGGAGTGAGAAGTGGGCAGGAAGCAACACCAGGCCTCAAGGCAGTCAGTGGTGGTTTCCAGGCTGGGGTGACAGGGGCCAAGAGGAGGACAGGTGTACTGGGGACGGATCCCTGAGTTGGGGCTGATTTCTTCCAGCACCGATGAGGGTGCCAAGTGCTAAGTGGGCACCCAGCGTACACTGATGGAAATGAGTCTCCACTGTGATGAGTCCAGTCCCCATTTCATGCCGCACCTATTGTTTCTCTCTTGGATATGGCTCTTCCCTCCTCTGTCCCTGCCTGAGTGATCTTCAATCACAGGCATAAATGTAGTAATAATAAGCAGTATCTGAGAATAAGGGCCATTACAGGCCAAACACCAAACCGGGCATGCTAGACTTCATTTCCCCCTTTCATCCCTCTCCCTGACCCAACCCATCCAGAAGTCCTTTCCCTCTTACTCCTCATAATTTCAGAAGCCTCCTCTGCTCTACTACTCTCTGCCACAGCACTAACTCAGCCACTAGCTCCTGTATAGCAGCCCCTGGAAGACACCATGCCATCCTAACAGTCAGCTGCTCTCCACACCAGGCATCTTTCTAAAGTGCAGAACTGCTGTAGCTACAGTGAGGCTCAGGGTGCACTGCTCCTAGACATGGCACCTTGGCAACTGTGAGGTTCAGAGAAAATAGACCTGTGGAGTTCCCCCTTTGCTACCATTAGCTCACACTGCATGCCCTGTCCACTTTCATTAAAACTAAGCATCAAAATCCCTCTCCCTGTTGCTTTAGGGCTGTATAAATCCAAATCTCCTATAGCAAGTAAAACTTCTACTAAATAATTGTGCCAGATTTTCTCTTGGTAATCCATCTTTTGTTACAGGAGTTTCATCCATGAACCTAGCAGTGGGTGAAAAAAATGATACTCCAAATCTACATTATTCCCAGTGGGCTGGGAAAATGATACCCCCCAGCCTGACACCTTGACATGCCAAGAGGCCTCAGAACCTCCCTCAAGATCAAGGTCTCTCTGACCTTCCCTGCCCACTCCCAGCACATGAGAGGCTTTCTGCAAAATCCCCTCCACTCTCCGCCCTGATCGGCCAGAATAGGAGCGCAACTGCCCTCCTCTTCTTGCTGAAATGTCATTAGCAGAGAAGACCAAACTCAGCACAGGAAGAAAGGCTGAAGTCTATCAACACACCTGGACAGATTGTCACACACCTTTGTCCTCTATTTTGGTCCCATAGAGAATCCTGCATAAACCATGTTTGTTCTGTGGGCTGAATGCACTTTGTCCAGACCATTTCATGTTCTTTAAGCTCTAAAAATCATGTGCATCTCCCCTGACATTCCCTTTATCAAAAAAAAAAAAAAAAAGGGGGGGGGGTCTTTAA